GTGGCGGACTACCTGCTTGGCGAGCTTGCCGTGGAGCCAGATCCCCAGCCAACGCATTGCTGGCTGTGCAGCCACCTCGACTCCTCTGTGCGTAATGGTCGGGAAAGGCGCAGTTTGTCTCTTCCTGGAGAAAAACTGAATTTCGGTCTTGTCCGGGGAGAACTCAACAGCGTTGTCTACTCCCCACCGGACCATGGTTTCCGGCTCTCGTTGAGCCTTCTCAGCAACCTCTTCGTTCGAGGGGTATGTCGCCCTGTAGCAAAGGGACGGCATCCTCGATCGGCTCCATGAAGACCTCCGTGAGACTCGAAATTCTTTGGCGAGGAAGGCTGCCCGTGCAGCTGAAAGGGCTACTCGTGCTGCCAGGAGGGCTGCCGGTGCCGCTGAGAATGCTGCTGGTAGGGAAGAGAGTGAGAAGGAGTAAATTGTGGGTTGGAATTTTATGTTTTGTGGAGGTATTAGTGGCTTTCAAGATATCGATGTCAGAGTAAACTGTACGCGGGTGAATAGAGATTTTTGAAACCTGGCCATGCCTTCATTTCCCAAAGAAAGGCATATTGTCCGCTGATGAATGCCCTTTCGACCTTGAACCCACGTTGGCTGCGCGTGATTTTTAACCTAGCAGAGTGGGGAGCTGACAGATTTCCTGTAAGCCTCACCAACCGATAATAGAAAGCATCATTTTGCTAGGTTGGGGTGGTGGTGCCATGGTTGTGTGGATGAAGACATTAGGACTCATGCAATTGTTGTAATCTGTTAGGTGGTTAGTTCTGTCCACACTAAGTTCTGGCGCTGATGCTAACACACACAGTAGCTCTCGTCACGAGCTCAGAATTTAAGCCTGTTCAAGGGCCAAAGCGGTACCAAGACTGTTATGAACGTGATACCGATCGGAAACTTTCCACATGCCTGGCCTCGACAGCGAAAGCGCAAACAGCAGAACATCACAAAACATCGCCATCTTCTCGTCTTGCACCCGCACTGCTCGACCATCGTTCCACCATTTCACCACAAGCACAAACCGTCCTCTACAATGCAAACGAAGCGCGCGTTTATCCTTTTGGCAGCGAGAACCAACGATCCGTGTCTTTCGCAACGTTGGACGGATACCGGCCATGTGGACAAAGGACATCCCGTCGTCATGGGCACCGCCACCAGTATAGCAAAGCATCGAACAATGATTCCGCAGATAACACGCCCTGGATGTGCCCTATCCAAGGGCAATAGAAATAATGATGTTACAGGGTTTGTTGTTACACATTACGCGCCAGAGAAGACCGGTCTGTCGCAACCTGACCACGGAGATGTCTTCCATCCTGTATAGGTCAGATCAGAGACCCTACCAACCCAATTACCAGTCATATACACTCAAGAGCATTGGAGGCGGAGCCACAGGCCTCAACTATTCCTCAAACTCATCCATCGAGTCATCCGAGAAGCCAAATACTCGATGAGCCTGCGCGAAAGCCCCGACCGAACCTCTAGCAATAAACAGACAAGGCAACGGAGTACCCGCCTCCAAATAATTCCCGCACGAGATGCACCTACATGTTCTTCTTCACTGCACGCTTGCCTTTCTGTGTGGCACCTCCGCCGCCGCCGTATACCCGGAATACGAGCCACGAGAATTCCCCCTCGTGAATTCCACGCGTGTCGTCGATGACACGACGATCTACTTCCCCGGTCCCGTCGACCTTCGAAGACGAGTCCGCTCCGCACCTACCAGTGTCAATCTGATAGGACCATCCTTCCCAAAAACCACAGATATCTCTGCAGAAAACATCACCAGTGGTACAACTGAGGACAACTGCCACGAGGGTTCTGTCAACAACATTTTGAGCAGAACGGGACAACAGGAGAAGAGCAGAGAAGGTACGCCTCCAAGCAAAGGGAGCCCCAACAAAGATCAACGAGCAGCGGATGCACACGCAATTAAACCACTAATCCCGTTCGGTGTTGCCTGCGTCCTTATTCTCTCGTTCATGAATGGAATATTCCTGTGGTCCTTCAGGAGAGCACGTAGAAAGGAGGAAGAAGCGAACAACAATGGAATTGGACAGGTCGGAAAGATTTGAGGGGTTGAAATGGCTGGCGGAGAATTCCTATCACTGTTATTACATGTTCAGGGTTGATCAGGGAAATGAGATGGGAGTTGCAAATTCATACATCTCCTACTTGTTTTTCTAGCTGCATACAAAGCTGGAGATTGACCAGATGACGCCAAATGCTAATCTGGTCCCCTTGCTAGAGTCACGAATGAATTTCCCTAGTACACCGCTCCCGACAGAGCAAGGGCAAACTCCCTTCAGCCAGCGTTTCTCCAGCATAATACCCGACAAGGAAGCGATCAAGAGACGGGATAATAACACCAAGGACGACGAGAAGTCATGCTGGTGTCATTGCCAGTGTTCAACAACGGAGACCCCGAAGAAGGAGGAAGAGAAGAAGAAGCTGTCGGGAGGTGCAATTGCAGAATCGTGCTTGGGTCAGTGGCGGGAGCTGCATTTGTGTGGTTTTGGGTCTGTGTGGGCTGCCTGAGGTTACTTAATTGGGCATGTGACTAGTAGACGGGATCGACTAAGCTATCTGTAGGTCTAGCAAGATATTACCTCAGAGAGGGACTCAAAGCTCACAGGCAGTGGATCAGGCTTCCTTTTAACGGAAAACTGCCAGTGTTGGATCAAATGTGTTCATTAACTCAGAATTGATGGAGAACCGCTCATTCTTTTCACCTTTGCATCTCGCTTTAGTATCTGGTCAGATTCGCATGATCGGACCGTTGGAAACTTGTGGTTTTCTCCCGGCCTTACATTCTCGGTTTTAAAGTCGGCTTCACCAGACACCTACAAGCCGACCACCCGGTGGTGTGCATCATGAACGCTTCGGGATTCAGGCTTGATAGAACTTTTCCGATTCTTACAAGCTCAATGCCCTAATAATGCTTCTGATTCATGAATCATGAAGGGACATATCTGTGGTTATAAAGCGCACAGCTTCCGCGGTTCCAGGAACGGAGTTTGGTCACAAAGGAATCCACAAGCGGCAGAACCAAGCCACTCCAGCCCTTCTTATCCTCCTGGAGCTTTTCAACAAGTAGCGACCTTTTAAAACCCAAATGGTCTGCCAAATACCAGTTTGAGCAGATCACAGACTCAGCACAGAAACAGCCGTCCTCCATTCCCAACACTAAAATGTATCTTCAACTCCTCCTTCGGCTCTTACTGGCCGCCCTCTTCGGCACCTCGACTGCATCCGCCCTTCCGAACCAAGAACCGAAATCTCGAGAGGTCACGAGCCCTACGCACGTCAGGTCAGACACTCAGACAAGTCCCGCAAGCACGCCGATCTACCACCGCAGCCTAGAAAGGCCAGCACAACCATCTCTCAACGACGAAAGTGAGGAGAGCGCCCAAGGAACGCATTTCGCATACATCGCGGACGGCATGAAAATGAAGATCAAGGCCAGGAATATGGATAACACGGAAGAATATGGACGCATTTACAAGCGGGAGACAAAGGGCGTAGCTCTCATTGCCGTTGGTGTTGTCCTTGGGGTTGGTTTTCTGTGCGCCGTCGGCCTGTGGTTGCACTACAGGCACCGTTAAAGCAGAGTGAGAAATGCTTGGTGGGGGTGGGTCGTGATCGAATTCAATGGGGATGGTCCGCAGGACGGCTCCGGGGAAGTTATGGGGAAGGGAAATTTTGGTTTTAGTTTCGGCGAACGAGGAGGGAGTAAATGCGGATTGGGGAATTGGGGAAGGAAAGGATTATGTAATTAATTCGCGAGTAGTGTGCTCCTAGGAGAATGGTGCACATGCTTCGGGTTTGGCGAAGCTAGTCTCAAAGGTCTCATTAAGACATGAGATGTAATGGTACGGAGTGAATGCCATGAGATTCATCAACTACCGGTGAGAAGACAACGTGCTGTGAACATTGGAAGACGGGATGCCAGCGGGGCTCCACTATCCAATACGAACTAGCGCCATACGGTGAGTGGCCAATCATAATTCGCTTGCCGTCCCGATGCGGCAATACCCCGCCATTAGCGCCAGACTGGTCCCATGCTTGCCCCTGCCCGCCATCGTTGATATTGATTTCGTCTTCGCCCGTCGCCAGCATTGTTTCCATTCCGGATTTCACAACCCCAACATCCAGATTCACCACACCGCACTTGGCCTTCCAGCTCGCTGTTTCCTTCTCTTTGCTGTGCCAGAACACGTCTTCATCTGCGTGTGTCTTTCCTTGCTTCACACAGGTATCGACTTCCTCTGCTGGAGCCGCTGCCGTCACTCCTCTCCTGCACCGTATGAACCAGCCCAGGAGCCCGAGTAATGAAGCTCCGCGAGCCGCCTGTTCTTTTCTCTTCTACTCTGTTCTGTTCATAAGACTTACGGCTATGGTCTCCAAGCCCAACAGGGCGGTTGGTCGCCAATGAAAAATGGAGAAACAAGCCGGGCAGGATGAGTGAACAGCGAACGCCTGCAAGGGAGCCAAAAGCTGAGCGAGACGAGCGGTTTTGTCTGTTCGGCAACCCATGCGCTAGTCATCTCCGAAAAGAAGACCAGCGTTTACCTCGGCGGGTAACCCAAATTATCGGCCTTGCTGTCCAACGTCTACGCACTGGACTGTGAAGGATCAATCAGGGTCAAGGTATAAGAAAAGGGGAACCCGAGGACTGACTTACCTTGCCCGCTTGGGCCTTTTGTACCATAATTGATTGCTGCAATACAATCGAAAAATAAGCACAGCAGTGATCCATCTCCAAAACGCCCAACATGAAACCGACACAAATCCTCCTTCGCTTTGCCATCACCATCCTCTTTGGTGTTTCCGCCGTATTTGCCCTTCCTGAGGGGAAGGCAGGCCTGCGAAGTGCCGCTGTTTTGTCAAACAGGGCCGACTCAGCCAACGGCGTTCGGCAATCGAGACGCAAACCCTTTACGCCGCCCGACAATGCATTATTCGCCGACAGGGAGGAAGACCACACAGTTGCGCAATTACCAAAACGGGAAGGGACACAAGGTACGGACTTTGAGAACATACTGGGACGCGGCAGGACGGGTGAGAAGGGAGACGCATTTGGAGTAATTGGGCGCCGAGGGCCGGAGGGTTCTGATAGAACCTTCGCGATTATTGGGGGAACTATAGGGGGTGTCATCTTTCTAATTGGTAGCTGGATCAGTTTCCTCAGGTGCAGAGGATCAGTCATTGGCGGCAAGGCTTGACGGCACCGCTTGGAGGTACTTCGACACCGCTGCTGCCTGTCATGCCCTAGAATGATTGCGAAAGAAACATTGGCTGATGAACAATGTTCGTGCAGTTACAACGGAACTTCTCCCAACTTCCACGAGTACGTCTTCCGGTTCGCACCAGAACCTACGAGAAATTTCCCCACGCAGGATGGGAAAGAATACAAGTGAGATCTTCGTAAGGGAGCAACATATTGAAGGCGCGGAGCTGGGAAAAGCAGAAACTGAGGCCGAGAAGCACAAGAAGGATGTCGGGAAACCAGAATTCACTCAGCGTTGGAAACTTGACGCAGTGGATGGGATCTGGATATTCTCTCTAGCACTCTTCGGTTTAGGGCTTGCATCTGCACTCTACCACAAGGTGTTGTGGTGGGGTCTGTCCCACCTCCATTCACTGACATTGTCATGTGGGCCCACCAGCCCGCACCACCATGTATTTAGCCCTCCACATTTTCTTTTCCTTTCTTGTCTTCCTAGTTTAACACAATCAACACACTTCTTGTGCCCACAAACCCCAAGACAAGGTCATCAGACCGTGGCGGTGGAAACGTGAAGAGAAGAAGGTCGCAAGTTCTGGCGGACTACCACTGAGCAATGGAGCTGCGGCGGCAGCACGTTGATGGATGCTTGAATTGCCTCTGCTAAGAATCATAAGCATTGGGAGCTTTTCTAGAGAAGTGTTTCAGTATCTCTCGGCAATTTTCTGTCAGTCAACCTGTCTATGTCAGGCTCAACTGTTGGAAAACTACTTTGGTTATTGGTGTAATCCTGTCTTTTCTGCCGAGCCAGCCTTGTTTTGCATGCTTAGCCTCTAGTAGATACCCTAGAAAGGCAGGAGTTCTATGTACGTTCGAGACTTCTAATGTGACCGTTTTAACCTGTTCTCTTAACTCTATAGCCCCTAAGGATACTCTGGTATTCCTAATTGGCCTGCATATCTCACAGCACAGTGGCTTTGAGATTTTTCTTGAAAGGTGAAAATGGTCGACTGTTGGGAAAGATGGGGCCCAGCGTCCGATAAGGACAGACGATAAGGCAGTCAACCAATCATAATCTGCATGCTTTCCCGATGCGGATATACCCCGCCATCAGCGCGCAGCTTTCCAAGGCTGCCCCTGCCACGCACTGCTAACATCAACTTGCATTTCTCCCTTCCGTTGATGAGTTTTTGCGCCGCTGCTACCATTGTTCTCACAACGCTCCATTTCCAACCGGCAAGACAGTCTGCACATTTTTACAGGACCCTGAAGATGGCCATGAAAGGACAGGTAGAACAAAGACCTCACGAACTAGGGAAACGAATAACGAGCATCCTTTGAAAGCCAGTCGGCGCCGTGCAAGGAGACGGGAGGAGGCCTTGCGGGAGGAGGAGAGCGAGAGCGAGAGCGGAGAGGAGTGATTTTGTCCTTTCTTTTATCTTTTCCTTTGTTCTACAGGTCCCGTCATATACTGGCGGCTCGCTCACTGGGCGATTCGATTATAAGTGTTGGGCCGCGTTTACGCTATGGGCAACACATGATTTACACTGGCAATAGGCCTCGGTTTGCCCTCGGATTAAAAGGTTTGGTGGACAGTTAGGGCATTGCTCTTAATTTTGTATGCTAGAATCACCGGTGCGGCACGTCTCATGCCCTACGGGAGGCGGAAGTAGACGTTAAAAATAACAACAACAAAAAAAAAACCCACGAAGCAGCCTTCCTCAATTCGAGATGACGGCTCTTCAAGCACCAACATCCACAAAGCGCAACCGCGAACCCTGAGCAACACCACAAGTCCTAACGGCAATGATTGGGGGAATCCTCAAAATGGGCCTTTGGCTGAGCGAAAACTAACCGAAGATCAGAAGTCAGATTGGCTCTTGGTTGCGTTTTGGGTGTGGCGGCCGTGATGTTCATCTGCGCTTGCTGTGGGCGATGCTGTTTGGATCGCCTGATTTTCTGGTTCGGGAATGAAAAGCGGAAAGAGAAGGTGCGTGAGAGAATACGCAAGAGGATGGAAGTATCAGGACTCACTGTCGATATGGAAGGAGGAGTCTGGAAGAGTTTGTCGGCGTGGCGCAAGGCATCCAGATAATAGATCCGCTCCGGAAGCTTGGGCCGGGCTGGGCTGAGCCCCGTGAGGTTCCAATGGCATTGTTTTCCTTATTAACACTCTTCTGTCAGTCTGTCAGTCTGTTCCTCTCTTGATTTTTCAAGCATGTGTTTCCTTGCGGCATGCAGGAAATCTCGTGAAACGTTCTGGAGGGCGATCAACCAATTAGATGTCATTTCAGATCCCAAAGGGAAAATACCCCTCCATCAGCGCCCACCTTCATGGATATTCCGGGCCTGCCCCGCAGTCCCGTGTTCTGCTCGTTACTTTACCGCTTGTATTGAACATCCAGCGCCTCCTTCTCAACAATCGCAAATTCATCGCAGTCTAAGCATTTCTTTTCTACCAATATCCAATTGCTACGCCAGACGAAACATGTCAAAAACATCGAACGCCGAACGGCATGTTCACCCATACCTAGGTCGTTGCCAAGGGCAGGTTATATTCCGTCATGCAACCTACAGGCTCGTTGGCATCCCAGACGAAGAAAAGCGATTGCGACAAAGAATCGCAACAACGTCAACAGACCAACAGCCAAAGCCAGTAGCAGCCCCGCCTGAGGACGTGATACATCAGCGTTAACACCCCTTGGCTGGCTCAGTGCGGCGTCAAAAGCCTCGGTGACTTAAAAGGCGCTGTATCTCTCCCCCGTACGAAAGCTTCTCACTGGCTGACGGGAATTTCCTTGCCAGTACTATTCTCTACCGGCGACTCGGCGCGACCTAAGACCAGAAGTACACAATGCATCCCCAAGACATTCCTCCATTCACCCTTACGCTGCTTTTTGAAGTTGCTATTGGCAATGCATTCGTCGTTCCCACACCAGGAATACCTCCGTCAAGCCTTCCAGAGATCTCCAAGCAGAACACCGATGTAATCGACGAAAGCCAACCACCTGTGGCTGTCCCGACACCCACGGTCAACTACCCTGGTGGTGTCCCGGTTCGAGTCCGACATGGAACCACCCACCTTGCCGGTAGAAAGCAAGATGCTGCACGCAAGGAAGATAGCAGCAGACACGGTACGGACAACGAGAACACGCAGCAAGCCAAGGAGGAGAAGCATGGAGGCACGAGAATACACCGTCGAGATGTAGCAGGAATGGCAACGCCGGGATTTGCCATCCTCGTCGCATTTGCGATCCTCGTCGCATTTGCGGGTATTGCCTATTTTTGTTCACGTGGTTCACGATCGCCCAATGTATAACCAAGGGGGAGACTGCTGTTATTCGGTGAAAGGCAGTCCAATGATGGACACTTGGAGCGAAGGATAGCCTTTGAATAGACGGCATGTTAAACAGATAAAAGAAGGGAATGGAACTTGAAGGACGAGTGACACAATGCTAAAGAAGATCTTTATGCTAGGATGTACCGCCACGAAGAGAAGTTTACCGTTCAATGTTGTTGTTTCTGAAGTAGAAATAGGGCATCCTGGGTCAATCAACAAGATACGAACTCCCTGGATGGCTCATACCACCACGGAAAGAAGGTAAAGAAAAGAAAGTCATATAAAAGGCTCGTGCCTTCCACGTCCGAAAGCATTCGCTGTCTTATTTTCACCAAGGTTCTCCGCCAAACTATCGCATGAACCGAAGTATCCAGCTCCCCCCTGAAAAACCTTCTTCGTATCCCAACACCAAATCTTTTTGCAATGCATTCGCGACCTTTTCTCAACTTTACCCTTGCGCTGATCTTCCGAGCGTCCATCTCCAATGCTGTTACTCTTCCCAATCCAGAAGATACATCTAAACTAAAGATGATTTCAAGGATCCCTCGGCCGCCCAGTGCTAACAAAATGCGTCACGCTAGAACCAGCCACTACACACCTTCCACCTGTAGATGAGAAACCAGCCAGCATACCCCGAAGCGACACCAAAGATTACATCTACTGCAAAGATAAATTCCAACATGCTGAGGGATGTAATGGAGATTTCCATACAGTCCGGGATGTTGACGACGACTACTTTTATAATAATAATAAAAAGTAGTTATTTGTGTATGTGGCGAGGATTAATGCCAAAAAGGGACTTGAAAAACGTAAATATGACTACAATACACCTGAAAAAAAGGTATATGGAGGAACCCTGAGGTGGGGAAGTGTTTGGGCTCATGACCATTAGAGGTAGGTAGACTAGAACTAGCTGTTGATAGGTAGTGTACATGTAGTAGGTAATGTAAGCAGCGTTGGTGGTGGCGTGAGGTGATGATTTGGAACCAGTGTGACGATTGATCGTTTGTAGTGTAAGATATGGGCGGAGATAATGGTAGGTGTGGAAAGAAGACGGGGCTCGCTAAATGTCAGCATGGGTCTTAAATTGTAAAGAGACTAATAAGGGAGATCGTGGACAAGGCTGCCTCGTCCTCACTTGCTTATAGCCCATAGGTAGGTAGTTGGTAATGGAGATTCTTTGAGGGACAGCAGGGCAGGGCAGTAACGGGATCCCTTGCGCGCGACTCACAGTGAAGCAACTTGACGCCGTTCAACAAATGGATCGTTTCATGGTCGTTGAGGAACCAACAACTACAACCGTACCCTAGTAGGTGCTGTGTTTTATATATCGTTACCTCTAGTTTGTACTCTTCAAAATGAACCCATGTTTGTCCTCATTGCTCACCCCAGAACAGTAAATGCCTGTCGTCAACCTTAGCAGCCGCGGAGTATGGCCAATACTAGAGACCGGAAACAACAATGCTCAACAAGGAAAGTTCACCAGTTCAGCGGCAGGATCACACAACCCTTTCTTTCCGACACCGAGTCATGAAGGGGCCTGGCTTGAGAAACCTGGAAGGAGCAATTGGTTAGGACAAGTAGTAGAAACGCCCAGCCCCAATGGTAGAGAAGACCGCCACTTCTCCATTGTTTACCTACCAAGCCATTACCAAGTATTTCAGGACATTCGAAGATCTAGACCTCCAAAAGAGTCCTCGAAAGCCACCTCCACGATGAGGTCACAACTTCTCTTTTCCCTTCTTCCTTCCTCAATCGGCCTCTCCGCCGCCTCAGTCATCAAAGCGCCTCGAGACCCGAGCATTAACATTCTAACAACGCAGACCGCAAACCCCCTACGCGTACTGCCAGCTTTTTTTCAAGCGTACAGGCAGTAACCGCCACGGTGGACAGCACAGGTAAGACAGACACCTACGAAGGAAGTGAAGAAGGTGATAGACCATAGGAGGTCCCCTTCTCGGTTTCAAGAAAACGACAAGGCGGTCAGCCGCCGAGTGGAGAAGCCGGACAGCCACCAAGTGGAGGAACCGGAACAGGAGGCGAAACTGGGGCAGAGACAGGACCAGGGGGACAAGAAGGACATCAGCCGGATAAGCCCAAGCCCACGCACGACCAGCTCCCATCCGAGCCACCAAGCAAAAAGGGAGGTGTCGACGGAGGTGCCATCGCGGGAGGGACATTAGCTAGTGTTTTGGTTATCGCTGTGATCCTTATCTACTGTATAATCAAGGACAGAAAGGCTAGGATAGCGCACCAGGCGGAGAGTGACGAGGAGTATGAGATGAGGAGGCAGAGAAGGAGAGGCAGAAGGTGATTCAGTGTGGTAAAAACATGCAAGGACATTGAGTGGCTGGAAGGGAAGCAAGGACGCAAAGTGGAAGAAAACTACGTAGGCAAGACAAAGTATCGGCAGGAATAGACAAACAGGATGCTGGAAAGTAAAAGCCAGAAGGAAGGCAATGTTGAAATACAGACGCTGACAGAAGATTTCGAGAACATAGACATAAACCTAGTTGGACCAAGTCCTTCAGCGCTGAGTTTATCGAGGCCAAGAACCTCTGACGTCCATGAATATACCATCACCGTGAAGTCCGTTACGCCTGATACCATGCAGATCCGTCAAGACGATGTTCTTCGAGCGACGCAAGTTCCAACCCCAACGAACGATGGCACCACCAGCGCCGCAACGAATTCACTCCTGGCGAGAGCGATAACCGCGATAGCGACAAGCACAAAGCGACTCCCAGGCCCAATCCAAACCCAGCCCACCGACCCCATAAGCCCAGAAAAACCAAAGGAATCCGAAAAAGGGATGAAAAAGATTGCCAAAATCGCCGGTATCGTCGTGGCAGGTGGTCTCGTGCTCTTTTTTTCTGCGGGATGTTTCGTCTATTGGTGCTTGGACGAAGCTCGGAAGGAAGCAGTCAATGAGTTTTTCAGCGGTTGCTGCTGTTGTTCCAGTCCTGGCGGCGGCGGCGGACCAGGTGGCAACAGTTGTATTTACGGGTTTGGTTATTCTGGAGGGGAAGGCGATTGTTTGGATGGCTGTCTCGAGTGTTGCGCGGGGTTTTGCGAATGTTTTTGTGGTGGATTGTGTGGGGGTGTGGAGGGGATTGTAACTGCTAATTCTGGCGGTGTTGGGGCTTTATTGTTGATGATGTCGATTTTTCAGGTTCCTAGGTCGGGAGCGGGACTACGTGGTGGAGAGGACGTGTAGAGATTCATGGAGTTTGTCGATGTTGATTTGATGTTTGATTGAAGTGGCGAGGCATGGGAAATGGGTACCTTACGGGTGAAAGTGGTTGGACTGCTGTTAGTGTAACCGCCCCGTCACTGCTTCTTTTAGTGGAGGGTACTAACACAAACATCGATCTTCAAAACGCACCACAATCCTCTTTGCAAGGCTTGCCGAACACCAGTTTTGGTTGCCGGTATTTTATGAGGCACACGAGTCTCCTAGGGGTGGTTGAATGAGTCGGCAACAAAAAAATAAGGGGATTGTTGGATTTCCTAGTGCTGGATGGAAATTCTTTTTTCCTTCTTTTCGACCGTATAGAATTGTTAGCAATAGACTTTTTACACTTGCTAGATGGCATGATAAGCAATATGAACGACCAAATGGTCTTCTTCACGAAGGATGTACGAACAAACCAACCGCCCGTGAAGCATAGCACCGAGTTTGCTTGTAGCTGTTAGTTCTTCATAGCATGCCTTTATTGTTGAATGATACTTGCGTCCCGTCATTTTCTTGTGCGATCAAAGCGGTCCGTTGCTTCGAAGAAGCGGTTGGAGGTACAAGTAAGACGATTGCCCACTTCCCTTTCGCAATGAAGTTCATCAGTATTCCAACAAACAGAAACACCCATAGCCGTTGGTATTCGACAACATGCAACCACAGCTGTTCCAGTACCTGTTCCTCTCAACGATCCTCGGCCTGTCTGCCGCCTCCGTCGTCAAGGTCCCAGGCCCTCACGACCAACGGGCCATCAGCGATGATTTAAGCTCAAGTACACACACACTACCCACGGAATCTGGTTACGAGCCTACCAGTACATCCGATATCAGCAGCCAAGGTAAGAAAAACATGACAGTGAACAATGATGAACAGGGTAAACCACAAGGAGCCACCATTGTTCTTTAGAAAAGACAAGATGGTCAACCACCAGCAGGTGGAGGAGGCGGAGGAGGTGGACAAGGACAGCAGCCAGACGATGGAAGGCCGACGCATGATCCGCTCCCTATCTCACCGCCTACTGGGCACAAGACCAACATGGGTGCAGCCGTCGGGTACTCGTTACTGGGTCTGGCTGCTGTCGCCGTTGTAATCGGCTTTTGCCTTGGGCTCAGATGGAGGAGAAAACTTCGGAGGCGGGCTAGGGAGGAGTATGAGATGAGCAGGAGGATGAGGAGGGGTTACCGCCCCCGGGTGAGATTCGCGGCATGAGAGAAAGGGAGTTGAAGTGACCGTTGGAAAATGAAGAGGAAATCAGGAGCCGAGTTGATGGAGGCACCTTGATCAGTGATAGGAATAGCGCTAACGATGGGTTTGAGAGATAGTACCTGACCTTGGAATCGATGCGAGGAATGAATCGAACAAGCGTTTGCACGCACGATCGTTTGATGTCCCCGACTCCCCAAATAATTTCGTCGACGAGAAGTCGCACAACGTGATGATTGAAGTTCGAACCCTAACTCCAACTACCAAGCGCGCCGCCACCACATCCGCCCCCGTTCCGAAGCCAGCCTCGACGGGAAAACTTGGAAAGATCAAGAAAAAAGCACCCAAAGCTGGCAAATATGCTGCAATCATCATCGTCGTGGTCGTCATGGTCGGCATTGGTCTTTTCATGACATCCGTTATCCGCGGGGTGTGTTGCGGCGGTTGGGATGAGGAGAGGAAAGAGAGTTTCCGGGAGAGCGCTTCGTGTTCCAACCTCTTCAGTACCAGGTGCTGTACCTTTTGTGCTTTGGGATGTTTTTCGGGTGTCGCTGAATGTGTCAAAGGGTTGGTGGAGAGTATCATTTATTGTTTCGGTTCTCTCCTTGAGTGCTGTTGTAGCTGAGTGTTGCTGATTGTGTGAGCAATACAAGGAGGCCGAGATGGGATTGAAGCAAGGAGGAGGGTTGGCCTTGCTGCGTTAGGTGACAATGGGTGCGTATGGTGAGAGGGTTTGAGAGGAGGGGTCGAGGGGCAATTCGGGCGTAGCTGTTAGTGCTAGGGCGCTGTTGCAACTAATTGTAGTGCGTGTCACTAACGCAGTTGTCGAATCTCTGAAAGCGCGGTGATGGTGAGGTTTATCATCAGCTTGATCTTTTGATCTAGGCTTCAGGCTTTTCCTCATTCTATAGAAGACACCACATGGTTTCTCGAGCCATAAATTATCACTTTATGGTGATATCGTGTGTGACAGCGAGCAGTGGGAGATGGAATGAATAGGTAGATGTCGTCGATCTTTGCGAGAGATGTCAAGATTGCGGGGCAGGGGGGGTCGTGGTTGCGGGCTCTACCGCGTTGATTGGTCAGAGAGCCGCCATCGTCGCTTATCGGCCACTTCCGACTCCATCTTCAACGACATGTCGTCGCTCCTTCCTCGTCTGGATCAATCTGGTGTCTTCATCTTCCCCATTTTCTGTTTGAAGACGGCCCATTCTTTTCCATGATTCACCCTCATTCTCATAAGTTACCGGTTCGTACAAGAATACCCACAACGAACCGAGCACCGCACCAGAATTTCTTTGAGTCTTTGGCAGTTTCTCTCATCCCTACAGGGAGGAACAGGCACGGGCAACCAACAGACTCGTTGGTCCTGCGAAAAAAGGAACTCAAGAAAGCAACACAAAGCACCGGCACAGGGCATTGACTCAAAATAATGGCTCATTCACAGTTGGTACAATGCCTCCCGACCTACATTCGCTCGCATTCACTGCATTTGATCAACGCAACGATGTAGAGGAAGTCTGGCCTGTTGAAGGGAGCAAGGGGCCAACATCTCTCAAAACTTGGAGAAGAAAAAGATATGAACTTCCAACGTAATCCCCAACCTCAACTTCGTTTTCCATCATTCGCTGACGATCAACTCCGGCAAGATGCGCTCAGAATTCTTCGTTCAAGCTGTAATTGCTACCCTTCTTGGCCTCTCCGCTGCCTCGACAATCAACCCGGCGGCCAAGACAGAAGATCAAGCCCCCAACCGTGATGATTCGAACCTCGAGATCTCCATATCCCAATCAATCCACAGACCACACGAAAACTCGTCGTCGACAAGCACGGTGGCCAGCATCCTCGCAACTCGAGCCAGTCCCCCTCCATACAGGGGCAACAACGAAAGAGATGCGAGTGGCCACGGTGTTGTATCTCGAGAAGTCGACCAAGCACAAGATGAAACTTTACATGCCGATGATGCCCACATGAATTCAGCAAGAACTGGCCATGTTCACCGACCCCACGTGAGCCGAAGACATGGCCATGCTAGACGGGAATTCAGGAGAGAAGGTACGTTGACGATGTTTGTGTCTCTTATCCTTCCGGTCTCTTTTGTATAAAACTATACCCATCCCCTCGGGGTTCCTCTGGAAGTTTCTGTACCCGTTCCCGCTTCCCGGATCCTCCTTTCCTCTGGATTATTTCTGCATCCAGCACATCTTCCAGCGCGACCATTCCAAGTTGTATCCCTCTTCCTCTAGGGTCCCTTTTGTTCTTCCTCGTACGCGGACTATGTATTGCCTTTCTTCGAGCATCCCCTCCAGCGTCGCCCAACAGAATCCCATGCCACAACTTCACAGGATCGAACCATCCGGTGGAGGACGACTCCAGGACGCACACTGACTCCACCTTCCTGAATAGCCTTGGCAGATTTGAACCCAGCACCACCTCACAACGACATTAGCGACATGGAGATACTGGAGGACGGTTCCGTCGGGTTGAGGGAATAACATTCATCGAGGAATTCTCCTGTCCTCCTGGTTACAATTGTCTCAAGCACGGAATTCTAACGGTGGCCATTCTTGTCTCCATGTTTGGCTTCTTACTTTTCGTTGCGCTTCCCATAGCCGCTATCGGTCTCTGGAAAGTTTGGGATAAGATTTGGAGTAGCTAACGCAGCAGGAGAGAGAGGGAAGACTAATGGTACTTGGACGAGCATGTAGCTAATCTCTGTCTTACTCAACTTACTAGATCTCCTTCACAATATCCAGAATCCGCAATCCCCCCAAACCCAAGCCCAAGGTAAGGATGGCAAAGATAACAATAATTCCCAGTCTGATACAACAGAGGGTGGATCCAGCCCCAAAACATTGCTTATAATTGTCGGCGTGGCTGTGGCCTTGGTTATGATTGTGACTGCACTAATCATTTGGTGCGGCTGCTGCGCAAAGAAGAGGTTGAAGAGGTCGCGAGAGGAAGGGCGTTACTGCTTTGGATGCTGCGGAGGCGGTAGCTATCCCCAGGAGTATTGATGGGAAGCCCAGTCCATTACAGTGGGCTGAGCCATATGGTACTAACATACAGGTTTACAATCTGATAAGGAGTCCTCATCCTGGGCGTTGTGAGATAATGTGTGTACGAGGGCAGATGCAAGGTGGTCGGGAGAACAAAGTTCGTAATCTTTGGTGGAGGGGGAGGGCCGGAGGGTGACCACCACATCGGTGGAGGTTTTGGAATGCGTTATGGCCGTTCAGATTATCCTTAGGAGGGGGTCTTTATAGCACTAATACTCATATTATTCTGCACAACCTTGATAGGTGCGGAAAGTGAGCAGCACGGCGTACGTGGAAATGCAAACCGACTGAGGAGGGTTTGGTCTTGGTATGATGCGGAAAAAGGACCGGATTATGTGCAGCAGAAGGGGCGGTTAGCATGAAGTGCACGATATCAGTTCCGTCGGGGCACTGAAAATTTGCCTGCAAAAACAATGCCGTATCTCACTGAGGAACGCGTCAACGGGATACCTAAGGAACCAGAAAGCATGGTAGACGAGGAAAGGTGCAGGAGAACGGTGAGTGCATGTGTGCATGAACCTAGGTACATAATCAGTCTTCCTCCATCTTTATATAGAAACGCAGTATCAAGCCTCTTGCATTTACGAACGATATGGTCTCACATGAAGTTGCAGGAAACCTGAGAATGTGCTTCCCCAGCGGAACTCCGTTGCAGCCTTTGGGCCCCGTGGCGGGAACACAAAAGGACAAGTTTCCTTTTGGTCGTGAGGGGAGCCCATTATTACTTTCCAACGTTGACTCGTCTTCTCCCTTCGTCAACACAAGCCATCACAGTCCCATCAGTCCCATCACAGCAAACTCGAGGCATCAGGACGGGAAGAACAACCCCGAACAGAAGACCGAACAACCCATATGAGACCCCAAACAACAATCGTAAAGATGCAGTGGAAGCCGCACTCCATGTTGCCTCCCATCATGGTCCTTTACCTCACCGTCGTTGTTACCTTCCGAGGCCTTTTACCCGCAGCATCCGCCTTGGCCCTGCCCCCGAAGATCGTCCACAATCAGAAGGTTATACAGGCTATCAGCCATAATATCCACGGCAGCACTGCACCAGCCATCAAACACGTTGTGGCCACGGCCAACGTCTCTCCCTCTACCTCTACGACAAGTGCACCAAGCACGGACTGCATAAAGATCAAGAGCAAGAGCAAACTTGAACAGACAAAGTCAATCCTCAAGTACTTGAAGGCTGCATTCCACGACGCAATCCAAGCAGCCGAAAACTTCCATGAAACCATCGTCAAATCCATCATAGCCAGTGCTACCCATGTGCACCTCGAACCCCGCTCCCATACCCCCTTCCCACTCCCAGTACATGTACAAGTAAAGGTAATCAAACCTCCAGCCCTCCATGCAGGACCCTATACCCTCCACTCAAACAGCCAGCTCAACACTAACACCACGCCGCATTCCCGGCTGCAGCAGCTCAACCTCTCGAAGGACCACGAAGAAGATGGCAATGTGCATCACCTCAGACAGGACGTGAACGAGGTGAGCTAAGTGCAACAGATGGAGAAGATTGACAGCGTGGCGGGGACTGAGGTGAGTGGCGAGGATGTGTTGGAAGGGCTGGAACACGGCTGGGAGTTTATTTGGGAATTTGTCAAGGAGAGTGCCATGGCTGTTGTGTCGGCTTTGAAGGGGCTGTAATTAGTAGGAAGATGGCTAGATGTTTAGCATGTCGTGGGTGGAATAAATGGACGGGAGGGTCGACTCGAACTGCTGTTGGGAAACAATAGACGTTGTCGGGTGTGTTTTTTTCCCAGATGCGAGTCAAGGCAGGAGATTGTGCTGTGTTCCGTTAGTGGACGGGCGCTGGACGCGAGAGGTCTAGTGGGTCACGCTAACGCTTACTGTCTACCCCATGTTGTGCCTGTCGAGGTCCAGACATCTTCCTCCTACAACCAAAAGACTTAGCGCCAAGTGTTAGTCTTAACGCTAGGTTGCCCGCAAAATCCTTAACACCACCTAAATCGCCGTTTTCACGGTCGATATCCCAACATCCACAACACCAAAATGTCTACGCCTTCGCCCTCTGGGGCCCCCAAACCACCGTCGCCGGCTATAATACCGGTTACTCCTTTGCCGGGCATCCTTTGCGTCCCGCTCCCGCCCTCCACGACGGCGCAGTCGGCCAAAAGAGCCCGGACTGCGGACGAGGAAGCCCGTCCTGCTCACGCCACCACCGCCACCCCTAATGCTTCTGGTTCCATTACAACCTTCGCTGAGACCCTCGTCTCTGAAGCTCTTGCTAAAGCGGAGGTCTACCGCTCTATCGCCTCCGCCCTCGACTCTGAGTTAGCCCGCCTCTTCGTCGTCTCTACAGCCCACGCCCGCGAAGCCGAATACCTCGCACGGACCATCACGGCCGCCTAAGGAAAAACTACTGCCTCCCCAACCCCTCGTCTACCCCCACGACACCACCGCCCCAACCAGGTAAAGGACCCGCTACATTCGCAGAAATAGCCGCCAAGGCGTAAACTCTGCCTCGGCCTCCCCGCTCCACTCCCCCGCTCCCAGCCCTATCCGCAAGGCTGCCCCGCCTCCTACACCCCAAAGTGACGGCCGTATCTTCCTACGACTAGATAGGGACTCCCCCTTCGCCAACAACGACACCTTCGCTATTCGCAAAGAAGTGCAAACATTCCTCCGCCTCGCCCCACCGACATCCCTGGTTGCCATAAGGTCCCTACAGGTTTTTGCCCTCGTGCCCAAGAATGACGCTGTCCGCCAGACCCTCCTGGCCCACAAGGATGAGATTAGTGCCCGTTTTGGCTGCGTTCAAGTCGAAGTGCCCAAGAAATGGGTCACCTACGCCGTCCAGAATGTGCCCATGACGATGCGACTCGGTATGGTCCCTGTCGACACTACCACCGCCATCAAGGATGAGATGCTCGTGCAAACCAGCCAGGAGCCCATTGCCCTCCGTCCCTCCCAGTACTACCACCCTGGCGAGGCCTATGCAACCTGACCTATCAAAGGAGATAAGGCAGTAAGCTAGGTCGCGTAGGCCTCGCCGGGACGGTAGTGCTGGGAGGGGCGGAGGGCAATGGGCTCCTGGCCGGTTTGCACGAGCATCTCATCCTTGATGGCGGTGGTAGTGTCGACAGGGACCATACCGAGTCGCATCGTCATGGGCACATTCTGGTCTCAATGTCGTGGCCATGGCCAACTTCCACCCCTCTACTCCGTAAAAACCCCGTAAGGTTGTCAGCGGCGCCACCGCCGTCAGTGTGCTGTTGCCAGAGTGTCTGGCGCCATGCCTTTCTCGTACAAGTCCATGAAAAGAAGTGCGAGGTCTGGATTCTAGCGATGAGAGTGTAATTGGTTGCTATAGCAAGAGACGGGGTTTGATTGAGAACTGCGTGATATTGTCGTGGTCGTGTTATAACCAGGTCTCCAGGGCCAGCGCGAATGATATCGAATATGATTTCTTCTTCGAGTAGCCTCCTCGGACTTACTATAATATTCCGATGCCGTGCAGACTGGTCGCATTTGTGGAGCGACTATTAGGTCGCAATCATCCTTTCAAATTTGTTAGTATCATCCGGGTCAATCATTATCCACTGTCCTTACTTC